TGTTATCTGGCAGCACACACTGCACACTAAACACCTTGCAGCGTATTCAAAATAGGGGCAGCTAGTTGACCTTGGACCCCCAGAGGTGTTTTTTCTCCCTACTCGGGTGGTTTTTGGTTCCTCTCCTCCGTTGTCACCTGGCTCTCTTTCTTTCATTTCTGTCTTTCCATCACCTTGTATTTTTATATTATTCTCTCTTAATGATGTTGTAATGTATCACAACACATCCATGCAAAGTGTCTTCTGTTGTGAAAGGTGCTGTATAAAAATAAATTGAATGGAATCTGACAGTCATAAAATGGAATTTGATAGTAAAAGATGCTAAAACAGGAAGTGAGTTATATCTCAGCAATGCTTTGTTAGAGTGCGTACTGGGTGTGCAAAAGTCATAAAATTTGGCCACTAGGGGGCGGTATACCATTAGAAAACAAACAAATCTTCATCGGCACGAAAGCTATTTCACCTAATTTTTTTGTGCTTCATTAGCTTTAAGGATCATAACCTGGAACTTATGAAACTTCCACAGAAGGTATGTTGTACTTCATGCATCTTTGATTTTGCCAAAAACACATTAACCCATCTACTCCTAGACTTATGGCACAATGTGGTTTGTGTTTTACCTCTCTGGACCTTTGTCTTTAAGATTCATTAAAGGATAATTGCCAGGTTAAATGAGTCCACATTGTACCCACAAATTCGCCTGTCAAATGCCTTGTCCACAGGTACACATATATTCTCCCACATACTGTATAGATGAGGGAGAATGCATTCGTATCTCTCGGATATTTATTAAGTATTCTCCTTTGTATGAATTGTTACATATAAATTGACTTATGAATGGTCAAAAGCTTGGTGTTTTTTAATGTAAAACTTAAAGGGAGGCTATGCCATTTGAACAGCACTGCATGCATTTCCACTATGAAAGGTTTTACATGATTTATTTATTCATTTGTTTATTTAGACTCATTTCAGTCCATACAAAATGTTATCATTGATAACCACTGTATTTTCTGAATTTAAAAAAAGTTGCACTGTACAGTTTATCAAACAGGTCTGACATTTTTACTTTTATACCATAATGTCAATGCATTTGTAATGGCATTTTTGTTGAATTTGACATTTGCATTGGATTTAAATAATTAAAAGGGAATCTGCTTTTATTTGTGATACTGTTTTGATACTTTAGTATACAAAATGACTTGTCCCTGAGATGGTAATGTGGCATATTTTGTAACCTTTTTAGGGGTATGATGATATAATATTGACTGAGAACACATTCTTGCCAGTTTAGGTTCATTAATGTAATTTTGATGGTACAAATGATGGATACAAAAATGAACTTGATAAGGTGCAATATTGTACCGATGTAGGGTACTGCCCCAATGACAAGCTTTTGTACCCTAAAAGTTACAAATTCATCCTGATTTTTTTTAGATGTTTAAGACGCAGTTTTAAGGAGACTGAGCACTTACACTGAGCTTCATACAACCTCCTGTCTCAGGGCAGCGTTCTTGTTACAGCACCGTCCCTCTGCAGTGGGAAGTTGTGCGTAGATGTGTCTGTTCTAGGGAATGAGGTTCATCAAGAAACCTCAAGGTACAGTATTGATTGAAGGTAGCTGATGGTGCAGAGTGGCTTTCTGGCTGGGTTGTGCCACCTCCCGGGGGAGGTGGAGATGTGGCCGATGACTGAAGATGTTGCAGGGCTCATTCTAGGTATCTGCCCCTAGGTTCTCCATCTTGCTGTCCTACGAATAGCCAGAACCCTGGTCCAGAGATTTTGTGGCTTGTCATGAGTTGGCTATGTGGGAAATGGGGCAGAAGCAGGCGAGAGCTTAGAATCACACAAACATTAAACTCCAGCGAAGTATGTTATTGTCCACCCCATGTGTTTATGGTGCTATACTGCCGTTTTACCGTCTGTCTCTACAGTATTCATCTCCATCCTGGCCTCGGCTAGGTCTGACATGCGGCTCCAAGAATGAAATACACCTATAAATGTGAAGGAGAGAGGCTTAGAACACACATATGCAAATTTACACTGATGAATAGTTAGAGTATTAATATTCAGCAGTTTGCTCTAATTACAATACCCAGAGTGCAGTTCTGCAGTGGTACTGCATGAACAGGAAGTGGCAGCAGCAGCTGCTCAGTTTGTGCCGGCCGCCCTAGACCTGACCTTTCTTTTTAGTGTAGAGCAGTATCATCGCCCCCAGCAGGAGAAGAGCTATGACCACAACAACAATGATCCACAGCCTTGCGTGGCTTTGACCTGCATGGGAGAGACAGGTCCGACGCACTCAGTGCATTCATCTCAAATTCACAGTAACCCTGCCAAATGCTTGCTAACTTACCAGATCCATTTTGAAGGGAATGTAGGTTGATACTGACATACCTGCTTCAGCACCACTGGTTCTCAGGTGTATGTAGACCTGGTGTTTGCTGTGGTCAGTGGAGAAGATGCAGGTATATGTTCCTTTCATCTCTTGTGAGTTCTGCAGCTTCAGGGATCCATCTCCTGACTGAGCCTGGGCCGGATCCAGTCGAACCCGGTCAGCCCAGTTGTTGGCCACCTCTCCAGTCCGGCTGCTAAAGTTGAGGAAGACAGTGGGCTGCCCCGACATCATGAAGGCCCAGGAGAGGGTGAAGTTCTGGAGATCCATCGGGGCGAGGCACGGGATGCTCAGAGCTTGGCCTTCTATACCTGTCACATCTAGAAACAGACAAATTTGAGAGTTTCTGTCTCTTCCACAAGGTTGATGTAGCTTCACTGCCCACACGTGCTGGTGCTATACCTCTCTCGCTCAGCGAGGCCCTCGAGATTTGCGTGCCATAGGAACCAATGACAGTGCAGATGTAAGTGCGGCCAGACAGGTTTTCCAGGATTCCCAGTGTGCTCTGAACACTGTATAGGCCGCTCCGCTCTGCCACCATGCGTGTGGATGGTCTGAGGGCCTGTAAGGGCAGGGCGGGCTCCATAGACCACTGTAAGCGTGGGGCTGGGTAAATGTCCCGAGATGTGCACTTCAGCTGTCGGACTGGAGAGGGCGCCATCTCCACAGTCACGAAGCGGACAGGAGCTGCAAGGTACAGAGTCTGGATGAGGAGGACTGGCTTCTGGTGCCCTTTATTTGATAGTCTCTGCAGGATGGAGTAGTAGATGCATGGTTCGAATTATGGGGGGTACTGTACCCCCCGATCAAAGACCTAGACCCCCCCAATTAGACAAAAATAGCAGTTTGGGGGGGGGTCTTAAAACTTTTCTTTTGTTGTGTAAAAAAAAAAAAAAGAGAGAACCTCACCTTGTAGGAAGATTTTATGTAAAACAATTTCAAACACCCCTAATGTGGACCGTACCATCGGTTGCATCATTCATTCTCATTGAGTGACCTTTTCATTGTGTTTGTCTGTCATGGTGCTGTTTCTCGTGCATTGGTAAATGTAAGTAACCAGCAGAAGTCTAGCCTGTTGAAAATGTGTTATTTTACAACCTTCATTTATTCGTTTAAGTGTTTCATCTACTAATGCAAGCTGACGTCTTTATAAGTTGAATTACTTACCATTGTCCTTCTGAGGCCAGTGTTCTGTCGAGCTGAGCTACTTTGTCCAGGTAATCTACTGTAGTGCTAATTGATAGCCCTAATCATAGCTTACCTCGACAAAGTAGCTCAACTCGACAGAACATCT